ATCAAACGTATGAGATTTATAATAGTAAATAAAGCACAAACGAACACTATAATAGTACTGTAATATATAAAGAAAAACTTATAATAATGGTCCAAGCTCGAGGTACGGCTCTGATACCAGTTACAGTTACAAACAAGTGCGGAAAGTTACAAAGATAAAAACTGAGAATGTTTTACAAGAGAGAGAGAGTACAATAGAGAGAAAAATAGAGAAACTTCAGATGCCAAAACCTTCTACGAGCTTCGGTTTAAATAGAAAAGAAAAAGAGAAGGAACAGTGTAGCAGATAAGAGGAATCTTGCTTTGTACTATTCATAAAAGTGTTGTCGGCAACTTTCATTGTTGATGAATAGTTTGTCGGCTACTTTCACTGTTGATGAATAGTAGATGTGACAGCTCTTCTTGTCGTGTGCTAGATGAACTGCAGTCGATCAGAAAGAAGAGTGACAGATTATCCTTCCATTGCATTGATGAGATTATGGAGTTCATTTCCTTCAAGTGGAGGAGTGCTAACTGGTGATTGAGCAACTGCGATGTCCCAACCAAGATTGATATCATCGGCACTGATCCGGACTGTTTCCGAAATGTCAATTGTATTAGCCACTATTTCTTTTAGAAACTCTTTGGCTGTCAAAATGTGGTTATCTGAATACTCAGGATAATACATAGTCAGAGAGGTGATGAAAAGTCTTCTTCCATCATAGCAATATCCGATTTGATCATTATTAAAAGTTCCGTTTACGATTCTGCGGGCTTTATCTTACAGGTGTATAAGACTGTGCATTGCAAGATAATAAGGATCGATGCTGTTGGCGATTTCTTCTGAATTTAGAATTTGATTATGTTCAAGGTCTGCTTCTTCAGTAATTTTGAGGAACCAGATCTGGAAAGGTTGAAAGAAACGAGTTTTTTCTCACCATCCAATAGTACTAGAAATCCAGAAAGTTAGATTACGACTGTATTTCCAGTGGGAAGTAACTTTGTAGATTATTGCTTTGATCATTGCAGGGAATGCAATCCAGGAATGGTAGTCATGAGATGAGAAAGTAATTTTGTTAATTACTCCCCAATCGACAGGTTCCATTGACAAGGGAAATCCGGGAACAATGAAAAGAGTCATTTTTGGGATTGTTTTCCCGTTATAAATCATGTTGAAAGTATTAATTTCTTCATGATTTGAAAAATAAATTTTTTTTATTGTAACAGAATGATCCACTATTTTGGAGAGGATTATTCGAAAAAGTTCAGGAGGAAAAATGTCCCTTGCTTTTTCAAGGAGACATATACGATTGATCTTAGCAAAAGTATTTTGTGGAAAATCGTATTCTCCAACTAACTGGGCAAGTTTAAGAAAACAATTTATTTGTGATAAAGAAAAATCTTTTTCCCAATTAATGGTGAGACAGATGTGGATGCGAAGCTGTTTAAGCTCATTAGTCATAGCTGTTTGTTCAGCTATAAGAGAAGTAAGAGTACTCAGGTGTTGCCTGAATTTCTTATTGGCACCAATTTTGTGAGATTTTCAAACACTATTAATTTCATTACAGAAATTGTTTGGAAGACAGGGATTATAGAAGTAGCCAATGGGATCAGACAGCTAAAGGCAAAGAGCAGAAAAGCGATCTCCTTAACAACTTTCACGAGATACATGAAATTTTACGTGGCTTTGTTCAAATCTTTAAAGAAGAACTTATTGGCCATACTGGTGAAGTACTTCTTTCCGATGATGCAAATTTTGCTCTTTCTAAAATCGAATTATGCGACATATGCCGTTTTCCAGAATACGTTAAGATATTTAGCAAATATTTTAGGCATCTTCCTCCAAATGCCATTGTAATACCCCGTAATTTTAAAGAATTTATTTAAATTAATTTTGTATTAGGTTAATTCTTTAAATGTGTAGATTTATTCACCTTGTAATTATATATGTTAAATTAGTTAATTAATTTTATTTATTTGTGCATGTAATATTGATTTTTATGTTCTATATAGTATAATGATTAGTTTTGAAATTTTTATTGGTTATGTTTTAGATTAATTATTATTATTTAATTAAAGTATTTAATTAGTATTGAATAATAATAATAATAATAATAATACTTATAATAATAATAATAATATAATAATAATAATATTTATAATAATAATAATTATAATAGTTTATTAATAATAATAATAATTATTATAATAGTTTATTTATAATAATAATAATAATAATATTTATAATAAATAATAATAGTATTAAATCAATGTAATGATGAAGAAATTAAATCTTAGGATAGGATTTACCTTAGGACATCTTGCTTGACTTGGCTTGCTAGCCTTAAAGCCTTATGGTTGGGAATGTGGTTAATTAAATGCAAAAATAGATATTTGTAATATTTAAATTATATAAGTTATTTATATATAGAAGTTAGCCATTTAGTTGAGGATTCACATAAGTTGAAGAAGGAAATAAAAAAAAAGTGAGTTCTTGGATAAGACCGAAAGGAAAAGAGAGAAAGAAAGGAGCCTGGACTGGTGTAGGGAATTTACCCGATTACGCGCAACCGACGGATTTATTTTAAATCCAAAAAGGCAAGTTATTATCTACTTTTCCCCTTTGAGTCCATAAATTATTCACTACATTTATTCGGCTATTTTTTTTGAGGTTAGAAACCATGCTAGGACAATGAAAAAAATTAATTATTTAATTTATTAAAATAATGTGATATTAATTATTTAAGGGTTAAATAATTTATTATTAGCCTAGGTAATTATTTGAAACTTAGGAAATTGTTATTTAAGGCTTTAGAATTTTTTCTAGAATTTTTGGGCAATTTTCGGAATTTTTCTGTATTTTCCGGCGACCCTCCGGCGAGTTTTCCGGTCGCCGGCAATGGGGGAGATGACCGGAGTGATCCGGTGTGATGCGGCGCACCATAGGAGGGTGTGCGCGCGCATCCTGGGCCTTAGATGAAGCTGATTGATCCGGTGCATCGCGGTCCATGTTACCGCGGTACACTCGAATCTATGAGCATAGGATTGAGTGATGAGAGGGTGAGATGATTCAGTGTAGCGCGCCCATAGTAGGATGATGCAGCCAACGAATTAGGACGAGCCACGTCATCAGGATGCATTAATGCGCGCGTGGGAGCGCGTGGAGGCGCGTGGGAGAGTGGGGAAGGTTGGGCTGCGCGTGGGGAAGCTTAGGGCGGCGTGTGGGGGCGCGTGAGGGGCCCTGTCAGCTGCTGGAAATTACCAGAATACCCCTAGGGCCTGTTTTGTAAATTCCAGAACCTTAAACTTGGATTTTTATATACTGGGTTGGTATTTACGGGTTTAACGGGCCACGAAATTATTATTTTAATACCCGTTAATTATTCTTATGGCCAATTAATCTTTTCTAAGCATCTATTGGCTCGTTTACGGTACGGATATTAATGTGATTTATTTAATGACATTGTTAAAGATAAATAGTGTTAATATCTTATTAAATAGTATCAAACATTACTGTTAAATTAAATAATGCCATGTTTTAGTCATATAAATTATCCAATATATATTATGGGATATTTATACTGTTAATCATTTATCAACTATGATTATTATTCTGTGTGCATTTCAGGAAATAAATGGACTGTTTAATTATGTCACATTTATATTATATGGATGAGTTGCCATATAGAACCATGTGAGCTGGCTAATAAGTTTAGACTCATTTATACCTTATGCATTCGTTGCTATAGACAGATGTGTGGCTGTCGGGGTATGTGGTTTAATATTATTGGCATGTGTTGCCTAATTGACATGCTCAGTATGTTTAGTAATATTATTGGCATGTGTTGCCTAATTTATATGCTCAGTATATTCATCAGTACTTTGAGAGGTGTTATCACTGTGTAGTTCGTTATAGTCTGTGTTGTCAGTACCGTGCACCATGTATAATAGCTAATTTCCCGGGTAGGGAAAGGCGACACTTAACCACCTAGTGTGAGTCTAAGTGATCACCGTCTATTCTGGTTGAGGTCATGTTATACATTGGATAGTTCCCTTAGGATGTATACAGATATAGTACTCATCCGATTCATAATGATTAATTTATTTGATTCTCTGATTTGGGTCATAGTAGAGAGGACTTGCTCGTGGGGTTGACCCACCATTGTTGTTATTTCAGGATACGATCAGTACCCGTTCCAAGGTTGAGGTTAGCAGTGTGGGACCACCATCCGAACTCATCTACTCTTACGATCCAGTTCAGGGTAGAAGTTTTATGTATTACTTCAGTTTCAGTTTTTATTTACTTTTGACGTTGAACTCTTAGGTTTATATTTAGGGATCCTTGATATAGGATTTCCAAGTTGTAATGGAGTACTGTATTTAAATAAAGGATGGATGGATGTTGTATTATTTAGTGTTCCTTTCCTGTCTAAATTCTTTTATTATCATCATTTTGTATTCCATGCTTGTATATTGCCAATTGTTTTTTATATCCCTCGTTTTTCGTGTATAAGCCTGATCAACTTATGCGTGGAAAATGTGGGGGTGTTACAGCCATGGACCATTGGTTGCCCCAATTCTTCCATAAACTACCAAACCCTTGGGATGAGTTAGTCATCAAAGGTTACCCAGATTTTCTTATTCGAATCAAACGAACCAATAACCTTAGTTTTCGTACCAATTTCATTTATCGTCTTATTAACGAAAAATGTTTAGAAACCAAAGCCAAAAAATAGGTAAAGAATCAAATCAGCAACACCCTTGCTGGACAGCATTGTTGCGACAAGATTCTTCAAGAAACCTGGAAGGTTGGTTGTACACCAAGCAGTTCTACCACTACATGACGTCCGTACAAGAAGAAGAAATACTTCAGATGGCGCAAATGGAAAAAAGGTAAAAAACCTATCCAGAAATCAAAGAAATATGTTAAACCATCTTCACCGTCCCCCATTTCTAAACAAAGTAAATGAAAAGGGAAAAAGACTCCTGAAATCAAAAAAGATTGCAAATGCTACATTTGTAATGAACCTGGTCATATTGCACCTAATTGACCCAAATAAAGGTAAAAGTGCATCCAAGATGATCAAACGCCTTAATGCAGAAGATCTCTTTGTTGTTTATGGCAGCGACCTCTCCGATTCTGACGATATACTTTATGAATTTTCTAGTCAATTCTCAGAATCAAGTGATAGCGATGAAGACATCTGTATGATGCAGTTTACTCCTCATCAAGATGAAGAATCCTTTAACATTAAATTAAGCAGTGTTATTGGTGAAGAAGTCCAGTTTATGAACGAACAACTCATTCAGTTCGCTAAACTCCAGAAGCTGAAGAAAGAAGAAGTCTACGAAACTTCCAAGGTCTCCATCTTTTCAAAAAGGATCCTTGAACAATTCAGCGGTGATAGCACTATCGATTACACCTCTACTGGTAAACATGGATTCAATATCCTTAACAACGACAAGGTTGCTATATGGCGACAGCAGAATCCTCTCGCACGATATATTCATATGGGCATGGTTCAGATCAAAATTACCTCTCTATTCTGCAAAGGAACTGATCAACCCATTCTAGCTCTTGTTATGGATAATAGATTCCATAATCCTATTGATGCCTTCATCGGTGGCATTCAATCCACTCTTGTTAACAATGTAATTTGGTTCCAAATTAAACCCAATTATTTTATTTCTCTCACTGATCCAAACATTGAGAAAGTTCTCCAAGTCAAACTTCAACTTTCAAATCTTAAAATGGTCTTTGATTCTCCTAGTCTTGGGATACAGTGGAAAGTTCTTTACGAACTTACTCGTGAACCCGAAACTGCCACCATTCCTATAATTGACTCAAAACTAGTCACTTTGTTCGAACCTCGTCCCTTTGACTCAGTAATTGAACCAAAATTATTAAAATGGACAGATCTGGAAATCCCCCGCAACTAGTTATTTGAAGACATCAATCCGGAACCTAAACTCCGCGTAGTTGAACCTACCGTTACCACTATTCAAGCATCTAGTTCCAATCTTTATATAACCAATAAAGAGAAACCATAGTTGCAAAGATCAGCCTCAGCGCGCATATCTAGCAGCCCATCTGGATAGGATAAAATACTTCCCCCACTAGCATCTAATGCTCAAACCTCCGACCTACTACCTCCACGCCGACGGTTTACATGGACAGAGAAAGGCAAAGCTAAAGCTACCGTTGATGCACTTTTCCTTCCTGGCTCTAATCAATCCATGAAATCTGTACGATTTTTTCATTTTAAACACAGAAATGATGAAATCCTTATTGCTCCTTCTCAAGGGAAAAAGCAAAAGTATACCTATGTCAATGGTATCCTTAACTTCAAAGGCTATAAACCATATAGTCTTTGTATACTCATAGACACTGGAGCAACAACCAGTTGTTGTCGATATAACGCCATACCATCAGAAAAATGGCGATAAATGAAACATCCCATTAGTGTTCAAGGTATTGATGCTGAAGCTCCCATGAATGTCATCTAATTTAAAGCAAAAGATATTGCTATTTGGTTAAATGACAAAAAATTTATCATACCAAAATTACTCTGCTTTCCATATATGCATGGTGATTTCATTCTAGAATGTAACTTTATTTATAGTTATCTTCATTTATAGTTAAATGAAAAAGCAATTTCTTTAATGTTAAAGGACATAACCGTCATTGAAATTTTGATCCAAGAAAATTTAGCTTCTGTTAGTAGTGAAAAATTTTCTCTCCCAAAAAGAGAAAATAATGAACTTTTTGTCTTAAATGAATCTCACTGGTTATACTCTATTTTGAGACAAAATTTTTCAGATAATCCTTTAAATCTATGGAGTAGAAGTCCTCGATATATCTTTCTCACTGGTTATACTCTATTTTTTGCAGATTAAAACTCAAAGACGCTCAAATCATCATTCGTGTAAAACCAATGATATATCTCCGAAAGGATATCGACGAATTTGATGATCAACTCCAAGATCTTCTTGAAAAGAAGCTCATTAAAAGAACCAAAAGCTCTCATTAGGGAAGTCAATTTTTACCGCCCTGCCGGGACCCCGCCCTGTCCCGCTCCTTTAATAACGGATATGAGAACACTTTTTATACTGTTGAGGCGGACATGGATACAAATTTTGTACCCGTCGCGGGTTACGGGGTGGGTAAGGGTTCAGTATACATATCTTAGGGGCCCCGCCCCGCCCCGCTAATCATATAACTATATTTAATATATATATATATAAATATAATATCAATAACTTATTTTAGCGACTTACCTAGTTACCCATCTCTTACAATCCTAATTTGGGATCTAAACTTGGTATTAAATTTGCTTTTGTTTTGGTTATGGTGGAAGTTAGAGCTTAGAACTTCTTGTGATTTAGTTGTATTAAACTTTTATTTTTGTCTATTATGTTATCTGAATTATGTTATGTGCATGTTATTTTTTTTATTTTTTATTTTTGTTGGGATACATAATTTCATTTATGTTGTCCAGGCTTTCTACATTTAAATAGCAGGACCTTAAGTTCCAAAAAGTGGGAGAAATTTTTTTGCTAGCGGGCGAGCACGGGGGCACAGTATTTCCCATCGGGGCGGGGCTGGACATGAAAATCTAACCCATCGCGGGTCTCGAGGTGGGCATGGACTTGACAAAAATTAAAAGGGGCAGGGCGGGATTTAGGGAAACCCGCTCTAAACCCGCCCCATTCCCATCCCTACCCTCATAGCAGTCCTGCTTTTATGGTAAGAAACCATAGTGAGGTCAAAAGAGGTAAAGCCCGCATGGTAATCAACTATAAACGGCTTAATGAACATTTAATTTTTGACGGATATTTTATTCCTAAAAAAGATGTTCTCATTAATCAAACTCGTGGAGTAAAACTCTTCAGCAAGTTTAATTATAAAGCAGGGTTCTGGCAGATAAAATTACGCAAAAAATCTAAGCCATTAACTGCTTTTAGTACACCACGAGGTCATTATCAGTGGACTGTAATGCCATTCGGTCTCAATACTGCATTTCAGATCTATCAAAGATGGATGGACAAGATCTTTAATGACCTTAAAGATTTTGTTATTGTATACATCGATGATATTCTGGTCTTCTCTAAAACAAGAGAAGAACATAAAAAAGATCTCCAATGTCTTTTAAAAAAATTGAAAAACCATGGAATTATTCTATCTCCAACAAAGATAGATGTTGAACAAGAATCAATTGATTTCCTTGGCCTAGTTTTAACTCACAAAGGTTTAAAACTACAGGATCATATTATTATTAAAATTCGTGACTTTCTTGATGTTATTCAAGATAAAAAGCAGCTACAGAGCTTTTTAGGAATCTTGAAATATGGCCGCAACTTTATTAAAGCATTGTCTAAAAAAAAGCTTCCTTTAATAAAGAAGCTACAGAAAGATAAAGCTTTTGACTGGACTGATAAAGACACCACTGTTGTCCAACAAATAAAACACGATTTGGTCTATATCCCTGAAGTTTATTTTCCCCAAAACGGTGATAAACTTATTCTTGAAACTGACGCCTCCGATTTTTGTTGGGGTTGTGTGTTAAAAGCCATTCCACAAGACAAGTGGGATGAAGCTATTTTCACAAATCATCAGATACGAGCACGCAAAACTCCTATTCCAAAAAAAGCTTAAAAAAGAAGAATTGATTTGTGGTTACAATTCTGGAAAGTTTAAAACAAACGAACAGAATTACATTATTTATGAAAAAGAACTTCTGGCAATTAAATTGGCAATAAAAAGATTTCATATGTATCTTGCTCCAGAAGATTTTATTATTCGTACTGATAATCAAGCAGTTAAAGACTTTCTAATAAATAAAAACAATTGTTTAGACGGACGCAGGTTAAAATTGTATAATGTTATTGCCCAGTATTCATTTTCTATTGAACACATATACGATTGAACTTAGCAAAAGTATTTTGTCGAAAATCGTGTTCTCCAACTAACTGGGAAAGTTTAAGAAAATAATTTATTTGTGATAAAGAAAAATCTTTTTCCCAGTTAATGGTGAGACAGATTTGGATACAAAGTTGTTTGATTTGTTGGACAATAGTGGTGTCTTTATCAGTCCAGTCAAAAGCTTTATCTTTCTGTAGCTTCTTTATTAAAGGAAGCTCTTTTTGAGACAAGTCTTTAATAAAGTTGCGGCCATAATTCAAGATTCCTAAAAAGCTCTGTAGCTGCTTTTTATCTTGAATAACCTTTTCTATTAAACACATTAAAGGCACTAACAATTTTCTTGCAGATTTCTTAAGCAAAATTACAATGAGGTATCTAACCAAGATATTTCTCTGAGCACAGATGAGTAATCAAGGCAAAAATCCTCCTCCCGATAAAGACGGTTGGATTACAATTGCTAAAATGGCAATCGATAAACCAACTTCATCACAGCCTAACAAATGGTTTGTGGTATTAGCTGGTCACCAACCAGGCAACTATTCCGAATGGAATGACTGCCACAAACAGTTATGATCATTTTTTGGCTCATGCTTCAAGGCTTATGATACACTTATAGAAGCCCAAACCGTCTTCTATAATGTAGGTAAAGTTTCACAAAAAATGGTTTCACATTTCCAGGAGCAAATAGAGGTAAACGACTTCTATAATCCCGGTCTTCCAAACAATTTTTATAATGAAATTAATAGTGTTTGGAAATCTCACAAAATTGGTGCAAATAAGAAATTCAGACAACACCTAAGTACTCTTACTTCTCTTATAGCTGAACAAACAGCTATGACTGATGAGCTTAAACAGCTTTGCATCCAAATCTGTCTCACCATTAACTGGGAAAAAGATTTTTCTTTATCACAAATAAATTGTTTTCTTAAACTTGCCCAGTTAGTTGGAGAACATGATTTTCCACAAAATACTTTTGCTAAGATCAATCGTATATGTCTCCTTGAAAAAGCAAGGAACATTTTTCCTCCTGAACTTTTTTGAATAATCCTCTCCAAAACAGTGGATCATTCTATTACAATAAAAAAAATTTATTTTTCAAATGATGAAGAAATTAATACTTTCGACATGTTTATAATGGGAAAACAATCCCAAAAATGACTTTTTTCATTGTTCCCGGATTTCCCTGGTCAATGGAACCTGTCGATTAAGGAGTAATTGACAAAATTACTTTCTCATCTCATGACTGCCATTCCTGGATTGCATTTCCTGCAATAATCAAAGCAATGATCTACAAAGTTACTTCCCACTTGAAATACAGTCGTAATCTAACTTTCTGGATTTCTAGTACTATTGGATGGCGAGAAAAAACTCGTTTCTTTCAACCTTTCCAGATTTGGTTCCTCAAAATTACTGAAGAAGCAGACCTTGAACATAATCAAATTCTAAATTCTAAAGAAATCGCCAACATCATCAATCCTTATTATCTTGCAATGCACAGTCTTATACACCTGCAAGATAAAGCCGCAAAATCTTAAACGGAGCTTTTAATAATGATCAAATCGGATATTGCTGTGACGGAAGAAGACTTTTCATCACCTCTCTGACTATGTATTATCCTGAGTATTCAGAGAACCACATTTTGACACCAAAGAGTTTCTAAAAGAAATAGTGGCTAATACAATTAACATTCCGGAAACAGTCCGGATCGGTGCCGATGATATCAATCTTGATTGGGACATCGCAGATGCTCAGTCACAAGTTAAAACTCCTCTACTTGATGAAAATGAACTCCATAATCTCATTAATGCAAAGGAAGGATAATCTATCACTCTTCTTTCTGATCGACAGCAGTTCATCTAGCACATGACAAGAAGAGCTATCACATATACTATTCATCAACAGTGAAAGTAGCCGACAAACTATTCATCATCAGTGAAAGCTGCTGACAACACTTTTATGAACAGTACAAAGCATGATTCTTCTTATCTGTTGCACTGTTCCTTATCTTTTTCTTTGC